GTTTGGGGGGGGGGGGGCGTGCCGGCCTGCCTGCCCCGCGCAGCTCGCGCGAGGGCGAAGCGGGGTGGGTGGGTTGGTGCCTGGCTAGCCTGGGCTGCAGCCTGCACCGGGGTCGGAGCCCCAGCGGCAGCGGCGGCCGGCAGCGGCCAGCCGCCGGCTCCCTGCCTGCTCTGGGGCTGCGGGGTGCGGGCGTGGTGGTGCGGTGGCGGGCTGCTGCCGCCCATGCGGCCCACCGCTGCCGGCCGGGCTGCCGCCTGCCGCGTGCAGGTGGGGCGCGGTGCCGGAGAGCGACTGGCCAGAGAGCAAGGCGCAGTGGGGGGTCATCCTGGCAGACTTTGATGCAGAGGGGGAGTATGGGGACCGTCGCCAGGTGCGGCGCGTGCTGCGCGTGGGCGTGGGCGTGGGCACACGTGCTACCGGGCTGGTGGCGGCGCGAGCGTATGGGTGTGCGTGCGTGCATGTGTGTGTGTGTGTGTAAGTGGGTGTGTGCGGTGGGACCCGCCACACACCAGCGCTCCCCGACCCCCACACTCGCCAACAGCAATGCAAACGACCGCCCACCGCCCCGCACCTCCCTGCCCCTGCACACTGCTCTGCCCCAGGAGATTGTGTTCATCGGCGCCAGCATGGACCGAGCGGCGATCGAGCGGCAGCTGGACTCGGCGCTGCTCACAGACAAGGGTGGGAATGGGTTTAGGTTTTATGGTTGGAAGGTTGGGAGGGCAGGCGGGGGCGGGCACTGCGGCGTGCGGGCCGCGCAATTTGGGGCGTGTGTGTGTGTGCGAGGCGCTCGCAGCTGGCGGCTGCCCCTGCCTGAGGCGCTGGCGCCGTTGTTTTGTACCGCTGGTACCGCAGAGATGGAGCAGTACCGCACGAACTACGCCAAACAGCCCGACCCGCCCCGCCCCGGCCTGGTGGCCATGCGGCAGCAGCAATAGCAGCAGCAGCAGCAGCAGCAGCAGGCGGCATGAGCAGCAGCAGCAGGCGGCGGCGGAGCCGGCTGCAGCGGAGCTGGCAGCAGCGATGCCAGCAGCGCCGATCTCTGCAGCCGTGCTTGCAGGCGTGCCATGCTGCCCACGCGCAGCCGCTTGCAGCACCGCAATGTTCTATACCCAATGGATTTTCTGATCAATGAACAATCTAGAACCTTGCTGATGGAAAGGCAGGTTGGCTTGGGACACCCGGCGCCAGCGGTGCTGCAGAGGTGTGTGGCGGGGCGCCGCCGTCCTTCGCCTCGCAGCAGCTGGCCAGGGCGGCAGCTTCCCGCTTCCCCCCGTGTGCACCTCCGGGGCCCGCATGCCAGCCTGGCAGGGTCTAGATAGACTGCAGGTGGTGCAGGTCGATCCTGGCAGGCGCAGGCATTACAGCGCCCTGGCATAACATTGCAACGGAGCCGCCAGGGGCGTGCCCACATGCAGCGCTGGCGACGCCACGCGGCTAGCTGCCCGGTACGGGCGGCTGCCGGCGGCGGTACTGCACCCAGCACGGCTCCGCGGGAACCTTTATGCCAACCAGCTTGTGCAGGTCTGGCGGAGGCAGCAGCCCTCCAGGGTCCCCAGGGACGCTGGCCTGCCGGCGCTGCTGCTGGCGCTGCTGCGCGCGGCTAGCAGAGGTGAGCGCTGCCGCTGCCGGCGCTGGCGCCGCGGCTCCCTGCTGCCCGCGTGGCAGCAGCTGCCAGTCAAAGAGGAGCAGCAGCAGGGAAGTGACCAGCGCCAGCTCAGCTTCCGCAAAGTACCGCCCAGGGCAGCGGTACTTGCCGCCCCCGAACGACACCCCCGCCACCCCGCCCATGCCCACCACCGCGCCGTGCACCGAGGTGCTGCCGCCGAGCCGCATGCCCTCCCTGCGGCAGGATGGGGAGGGGTGGCGCTGTTTCAGGGTCACGGCCCGCACTCTACTGCCGGCTACGTAGTGTAGCTGCGCATAAGCAGCTAATCGGGTGGTACAGCTGAGCAGCAGCATGGAGCAAGCCAGGGGCCGGCCGGCTGTTGGGACGAGCAGGCGTGCTGGGAGCTGCCCCCAGGTTGGTGGCGGTGCTTGCCTGGCGGGGTTGAAGGCGGCGGGGTCTGGCTGGTAGAGGCGGGGGTCGAGGTGGGACTCATAAGGCGAGATGGCAACCATGTCGCCCTGCGGCGGGAATGCAACAGAAAATGCAACGGTCGAACGCAACGGCAAGCACGGCCGCCTGCTGCGCTACGCCGGCTGCGGTGCTGGCCGCAGGCAGGAGACAGGAGGCCGCAGGCCGCACGTGGGAGGCCGCTGGCGGCGCCGGATGCGGCCTTGGCCTTGCGTGATGTGCCACTGCAGCCAGCACCGCGCAGCTCGCGTTAAATACAGCGCAGCTCGCGCCACCCACCTTCCGCACCCAGATCCCCTCTCCTGCGCTCGCCCGCTCCCCGCACGGCACCACCACGTCCGCCGCAGCGATGCGCACATCCACGCTGCAGAGGGGCGGCAGCAGGGCAAGCAGGGCAAGCAGGGCGTGTCGGCTGGCTCATGTTGCCTGCAGCCGAGCCGCCTGCAAGCTCACCAGCGCCCGCCAGCGCCCGCCAGCGCACCGGCAGCGGCACCAGTAGCGGCACCAGCACCGGCACCAGCACCGGCAGCACCGCGGCGCCGGCACCGGCAGCGCGCTCAACACAGGTACAATGAAAGGTCAATATCCAAATGCAGCTGCACTTTATATTGTATATATAAATGCAGCTGCTGAAGAACAGGCGGGTCCCACCTGAAGCTCCTCAGCCGCAGCGCCTCGGCCACAGCCGCCGCCGCGTGCGAGCGCCGGTCGGCCGCCAGCGCGACCAGCCCCTCCTGCTGCGCCTCGCTCAGCGGCAGCCAGCCCTCGCCCTCCGCCCCATGTCGGCCGCGCGCGCCGGGCCGCACGCCGCCGCCGGCCGCGCCGCCGCCCCCCGCGCCAGCCGCCGCCGCCTGCCACGCCTCTGCCACCACCGCCGCCAGGTGCTGGCTGTTCTCTGGAAGCAGCAGGAAGCCGATGGTCCAAAAAGCAGAGGAGACGGCGTTGGCCTGCAGGCGCAGCCGGCCAGCAGCCGGGGTCACCAAACCACCAGACCAGCAGTGGTGGCGGCGGCGGCGCGGGCGCGGCGCCAGCACCATCAAGGGCCAGTCCCTGCCGCACTGGAAGCCGGCGCATGAGCCCTGGCGGGTGGACCCACAGCAGAACAGGGCAGGTGCGGCCCGGGTGCTTCGCCCGGCGGCCGCCGCCGTGGCGCCAGCTCAGCGCCGCCGCACCTGCGACGCCCACAGCAGCGCCAGCAGCATGTTGGCTACGTAAGGCGCCGGCAGCCCGCACGCCTCCACCAGCCTGCCTGCCACTGTGCCCTCCAGGTGCCCCGCCCGGTGCGACTCCCTGCGGCAGCAGGCAGTGGAGGAGAGGCAGGCAAGGGAAGCCTGGTCAGGGCTGCCTCCCTCTGCAGCTGTCGGGTCAGGAGGGCAGGGGAAGGCACGGCGCACAGCTTGAAGTGTTGGCAGGCATCTGGCCCGCCCCAGGCGCCCCGGCCCACGGCAGGCGCTCGCGCACCCAGGCAGGCAGGCAGGCAGGCAGGCAGGCAGGCAGCGAGGAATGCAGGGACGCGGGTCACACCGGAGCGCGGCCAGCAGGCGGCGGCGGGCGGCCAGGAAGCGGGGTTGCAGGAGGTGCGGCACCGGCGAGGCTGCCAGCTCAAATCCCGCCTCAAACACGAAGAAGGTTTGCTGCAGGCGCTGGGCTCGGCTCTGCGGATCGGGGCTGCCCAGCCGGCCGCCGCCGCACGGGCTCCCCGCTTGCGCCGCCCCGTCGCCTCCCTCCTGCTGCACGCGTGCCTGCTGCTGCCGCTCCCACTCCTCCTCCTGCTCCTGCCGCTGCTCCTCCTCCTGCTGCTGCTGCTGCTGCTGCTGCCGGGCGTCTGGCTCGCCCCCCAGCAAGAAGCGCGGCCCGAAGAGCAGGGCCACCGAGGCTTGGAAGACGAGCGCCTTGAGCTCCGCAACCAGGTCCAGCTGGCCGGCGGCGGGCCAGCTGCGCAGGTGGGCCAGCAGCAGGCGCAGCAGGCGGGCCGTGTGCTGAGGCAGCGAGGAGGGCACCAGCTCGTGGCGCAGCGCCTGCAGAGGGTGGGAGGGGCGGCATTGTGTGTGTGTGTGCGTGTGTGTGTTTGTGTGTGTGCGTCTGCGTGCATGTGGCGGCGGTACTGCAATGATGCGGGGGGGGCATGCCGTGAGTGACAGGCATACTGCTGCAAAGGGGCAGAAGCAGGCAAAGGCAACGATACCAGCAAGGCAGGCGAAAAGGGCAGGCGAAAGCGACACAGGCGGCATGCTTGCCTGCAGCATGGCGAAGTGGCGGTGGTAAAAGTGCTTGGGCGGCAGGCCAAACACCCGGTGCGTGAACTGCTTGAAGGGAAGGCGGGGAGGGGTTGGGGCATTGCAGACACTGTGTTTGTGTGTGTCAAAGTGGAAGGCAGGCGGTGGTGGGGGGCATGCACAGGTGGCGGCTGGGTGCAACCTTGGCAGGCAGGCTCCCCTGCGCAGCCACTCCGGACAGCGCCCTGCAGCAGCTGAGCCTCCGGATACAGACCCCAAAGCAGCCCTGCTAGCGAGCCTGCCAGCTAGCACACCCCACGCTGCTGCGGCCACAGGCCATGCGCGCCGCCCCCCACCCCGCCGCCGCCGCCTTGCCTGCTGCACCGCCGGGGCAAACGTGAGCTGGGTGTCTGGGGCAGAGAAGTAGTGCTGGAGTGCGGCGGGCGCAAACACAAACGTCATGCGCTGCCCCGCCAGCCTCAGCGTGAAGGCAGAGCCGTACTGCACCGCAGCGCAGACGCGGCAGGCGGAGGCAGGCAGCGCAGAGGGATTGAGCGGGAGCGTTCGGGAGCGGGGCCGGGCGCCGCCGCGGCTCGAGGTGTGGATCGCTGCTGCTGCGGCTGCGGCGTCTGCATGCCACAGTCCTGGCAGAGCAGCTGCAACATCTACCTTTTGCCGGCACTCTTGCAGGAAGGCGGCGCCCCTGGAGCCCAGCGCCAGCACGCTGCCCAGCAGCGGCAGGCCGGGCACGGTGGGCGGGACCCGCGCCGCCGCCTTGCCCGCCACGCCGCTGGCTGCATCCCGACCCGCTGCTGCACGCCCCAATGCCCATTTGAGCACCACGAGCAGCGAAAGCAGGAGAGCCAGGAGGACGATCTCCATCGCTCCTTGCGTCACGCCGTGCAGGCGACAAGGGTGCGGCGATAAGCTGTGCTGGCGAAGCTGAGCAACCCTTGCGAGCTCCGCTCACGGGTTTGGATTGGGAGCAGGAAGGCATGTATGTTGCCCGCTGATGTGGCACCTCCCCCGATTCGTCTGGCTCATCAGGCACGCTCTCTCCCGCGATCCCTCCCTTTCCTTCGCCTTTCAGAGTCTCTAAGGCTTCTATTTCTCCCCTCCCGCACCCCGCAGCTGACGCAAACTTAAAATTATGAACCAACCTGTCATCCTTTATGCCTTAGAACGGCGCCAAAACGGCGCCAAGAATGTGTTTCTCACTAAGTCAGATGTAGAGGGCATCATCCGGATCAAGCAGGGCGACGAGCAGGCGCCCTCAGGCCGGCGGCGGCGGGGTGCGGGAGGGGGGGCGGCAGTGCAGGGCGGCGCCAAGAACTACAGCAAGAAGGTGCTGCAGTTCTTCCAGGTGCTGAAGGGCGCTGGCGGTGGGCGCCGCTGCCATCTTCTTCAGCTGCTGCTCTTTAGAGGACTGGCGGCACGCCTGACTGCCATCTCAGGAAGCTTTGAACCGGTGAGGGGGCATAGAACCCGCTGGGATTGCGGTCACATATGCCGCGGGGCTTGCCAGCCTCACGCCACCAGCGGCTCGCCCTGCGCCAGCCAACACTCGCCAAAGCAACTGCCCCGAAGCCCCCGCGCTGCTCAGCTGCTTGTTTAATGATCTTGTATGGCCAAACCCACCACCAGTCCCATGTGGAGAAGCCAGGCAAGCATGGGTCTCATATCGAGTGGCCAGCGCACCGGCTTCTCGCCGGGCGGCAGCCGCTCGCTGGCTGCCGCATGGTACATATATTCTGAAGCCAGCTTCCACGCGTCTTATAGCGAAAATGCTATAAAATCCGCCCTCCAGCGCTTGTATTTCACCATTATTCAGCACACCCTCCCGCCTCCCGCCGCAGACAGCCTCCCCCGCCACCATGTGCCGCACCATCCCCCTTGCGCTGGCGCTGCTGGCCTGCCTGGCCTTTGCCGCGCCCGCCCACGCCGGCCATCTCTACACTGGTGCGTTTGGGGCGGCAGGGAGGCCTGCGCGACGCGAGTGTGTGGTGCTTTCTGGTGGGGCATGGCTTGATGATGGCATGCATGAACCCAAATGGCCAGGGTTTCGGGGGCCCAGCCCTCCCCCTGCGCACTGCTGCCATGCGAAATCGCCGGCGATCGGGGTTTGGCCAGGCCTCGCGCCGGCCGGACGCGGCTGCAGGGCCTGGGGCCCTGCCCACCGCCCACAGCGCCCACATGACGCCCCCGCCCGCCCTTCCTTACCCCCTCCCTTACCGCCGTCCATCCTGCCGCAGGCCCCGGCTCCTTCATCAACTCGTTCACCTCCGTCGCCCCCATCAAGCTGCCCGGCGCCGAGCTGCGCCTGGTGACCGCCGGCGAGATCTTCGGCCTGAACCTGGCCGGCCTCTCTGCGCTGCACGTGAGTGCTGTGCGCCTGCTGCCGCTG